TTTAATTACCTATAATATATTAATAGCTTATATGAATTATTACTTAATTTTCACTAAACTGATATTTATGTAAAAAATTTACCTGCTCTTAGCAGTGAAGTAAGACCTAAAGTTCTTCTAAGTCTATTATAATTAAGCATTATCGTAAGACATATATATATATATGATTATATATACACACACACAGTATTCTAATATTTGTATGCACATTAGCCAATATATTCCAATTCATTTTTTCCTGTTTATCAAAAATGGCCTAACTAATTGAAGCATATCAAAACATTTCTAGAAAACAAACATTATACAGAAAGAGGGAGATTTTCAAATTCTGGCAAATGAACTATGCATTTCTAAATGATATTAGAATTATCAAATACATCTCTGAATGAAAAACTTGTCTTAAATACATTATTTACAGGTCCATCACGGGTAGAAATTCAAGTAAATGTTGATGAATGCTTTAAGAGAATTCTCAACTCTCAAGTCTTTCTCCCTCTTTTGTTGTTTCTAGACATTACAACACTTTGCTTGGCACATGGAACATTGTTAATTTTCAATGTATAAACAAGTCATTGTTTGATACATTAGTGAAGTACCAAATATTGCAAAAAACTTATGTTAAAATATATCTCTACATAACTTCATTGAGTCGAGAGACAAGGCAAATTCAACACATTCTCCTAAGGGATATATATCCTGTAATGTCACAACCAAAGCAAAACAAAATGAGGGCCAAAAAGAAATGTATACTTTTTTTTCTATTGCAGTCCCTTACTTTTAAAGCTGATTAAGCTGATGTGCAAAGAGTTGAAGGTTTCGACTTCCTTTTGTATTCCTATAATCTTAAAAAAATTGGCAAAAGGGAAAATCCAATTTGTTGTGACTTAAAAATACAGAAATCCTTTGCTGGTAATAACCTAATAATATTTTTTGAGTTTGAAAAAGCACACATAGGGGCTTCCCTGGTGGCGCACTGGTTAAGAATCCACCTGCCAATGCAGGGGACACGGATTCGAGCCCTGGTCCAGGGAGATCCCACATACCGCGGAGCAGCTAAGCTTGTGGGCCACAACTACTGAGCCTGCACTTTAGAGCCCGCAAGCCACAACTACTGAGCCCACGTGCCACAACTACTGAAGCCCATGCACCTAGAGCCCATGTTCCGCAACAAGAGAAGCCACCACAATGAGAAGCCCATGCACCGCAACAAAGAGTAGCCCTCGCTCGCTGCAACTAGAGAAAGCCCGCACACAGCAACGAAGACCCAACACAGCCAAAAATAAATAAAATAAATTTAAAAAATATATATATTAAAAAAAGCACACATACTCCCTTATAAAAAATATCAATAGTATACAGTATGCTATTAACTCAGAAAAGCAATTAAAATGGTTCTTAGAAAACTATTTCTCTATCAGAAGAAGTTGAATATTTATTTTGCACTGAATCTTTGTTTCTAAATCTGACACTTTTGCCAGACATCTTTTAATAAACAACCTAAGACAACAACAAAAAATAAATCAGCTGTTTTTAGATTGTACAAATTCAGAATAAATAATTGATTAAGAAAAAAGAAAACTATTTTGAGCTAATCCATGTTTCCACAAATTTCTAGGATCTGAGATTGGAAGACAGAAGTCTTAAGTGACAGTATTCCTACTTATCATCCATCGAAATGGATGACAGAACAAGAACACTTACAAACTGATGAACATTCGAGTACAGAGCACCTTTAAGCTTTTTGAACCAGGAGCGCTTTTTGGAATTCCACCGACCCCAGCCACTACAGAGCAGAGCCTCTTTCACAGTAAGCCCCTTATATTCCACCGCAGCTTAAAGGAACTCACGCTTTCATGAGTAACGCAAATGATTATATAATCTTTAAATGATTTTAAACTAAAGGCATTATTTTAAGACTGCAAAAAAGTTTTAAATAGCATAATATATTTTACTCAAAAAATGGGTGAGGTGGTCAAAAGGTAAAAACTTCCAGTTATAAAATAAATAAGTCCTAGGGCTATATTGTACAGCATAGAGTTAATAAGACTGTATCGCATATTTGAAAGTTACTTAGAGAGTAGATCTTAAAAGTTCTCATTACAAGAAAAAACAATTGTAACTATATGTGGTGATGGATGTTAACTAGAATTATTGTGGTGATAATTTCCAATTGTTATGTTGTGTATCTGAAAATAATATGATGTTCTATGTAAATTCGATTTCAATTTTTTTAAATGAGGGTAAAATGCTTCCTATGCAAAGATTCAAAGTTTCTGTGCATTTTCTATCTTCATATTTTCATTGAGTTAGGGGAGCATTATAAAGTTAAAATAAGCAAAAGAAGCTGAATATTATACATCAATTGACACATTTTTCTGTTTACCAAATTCCTCATTCTGGTTTGTGTCTTCTTCACCTTTACCGAATTATCTAGCCTGGTGGCAAGATATTTCCATTCTTTTCCTCCCCTTCCCCAATATGCATAAGATAATTATATTTCCGAAATGATCTATATTTTATATTCTTTCTTTCCCTTGGTATTGAATAGATTTCAGATCTTTTATAACCATAGTGAGATGAACACTGAAAAAGTTTTTTTCTATTTTATAGAAATATGTGTCCAATAACACATTGTTATACTTACTTGTGTTATAATTAGTGGGAAGGATTCCTAAAAAATCACAATATGCTATTTCAATTTCTTTATAATAATATCTTAACAGTAATCACTTAGTGTCAATGAAAATAGAACATTTAAATTTAACCTTCAAAAGTTTATATTGTTCATATTTTATGAATATTAAACTGGAGTTTCAGCTGTTAAAATATGAATTTCTCTTACAATTTCTCCAAAGACTTCAGACACATCTAATCCAAGGCTGCAGAGGAAGGAATTTAACTGCCAAGTCAAAATAAAATAATGCTCTAGACTACGCTGCCCAATAAAGTAGCCACCCGCCACACGTGGCTATTGAAATATAAATCAACATTAATTAAAATTAAGTCAAATAAAATCAAAATTAGTCTCTCCATGTACTAGTCAGATGTCAAGTACTCAATAGCCATAGTGACTATCGGTACTGGACAGTGCAAATACAGAACATTTCCACAATCTCAGAAAGTTGATTGAGCAGTGTTTCCTAGACTTTCCTTCTCAAGGAGAAGTGTGAAGAGAAGTCATTGAACATGTAAGGGAAGGCTTAGGCTTAGGTTGGAGAAGGAACAGCTAGGTAAGTCCTTATCCTTGAGGCATACATCAATGTACGATGAGAAAGTGCTTTCTCCTAAGAGGAAGTAATATTTGACATTATTCCACTGCATTTTATTGATATAGACTTATATCACATCAGCTGTCCCCTAGCCAAAGATCCACCATAGACAAATCAATCAAGAAAACAAAGAATTTCCGTCATAAGAGATATCCTCTTATTATTTATGGTCCTCAAAATTAAGGAATAAAAAAGATGATGGTATAAACAGGCAAAATACATGGATAAATATTAATAGAGTGATATATATATAGTTATTAGTTATATACAGTTATATAGTTATTATTTTTATATAGTTACATAGTTACAGTGTTTTATATATATGTGTGTATATATATATATATATATATATACACACACACACACACACACACATAGAGAGAGAGAGAGGGAGGGAGTTATTCCATCATCCTGGTGCTACACATTTTCCATTAAAACTTAAAATCTGAAGATCTACTAATATTTTAGAAGAAAAAAAGTAATTTATACCCACACCAGAAGAACTACATACTTAGAAATTTCCCAAATAAATGTCATTTCTATTGCAATAGCTATTTTATTATGTAGTGAATAATATATGATTTTAAAATCGCTGATGATCAATGTACTGCCTCTTTCTCGTAACTCATGCCAACAAGGAACCAACATCTTTTAGACGCATCTGAAGTGGGAACAAAAGCCCCCTCGCCTTTTTAAAGACTTTTTGTATGCTTAAAATTAGGGATTTCTAATTTGACAACATACGAACACAAACAGCAGCTAGAAATGCAGCAATCTTTTGTAACCAGTTTTTAACAGCAAGTGTCAGAGAAAGCAAGGAAAGATCTTTTTTTGTTCTCAACAGATGTAGGCACAAAAATACACAGCCAGAAAGCTCATTTAAACTTGCTAATTACAGGAATAATAAACTAATTTTGAATAAAACTGGACAATTTCCTTCTATTTGTAACCCTGAATTTTCATCCACAATTACCCAAGTAAGGTACATTTACTTGCATACATAATTTTATATTTACATACATAATTTTATATTTATAAGGACAAAAATCTACAAAGATAGTTTTAAAAGATCTCTGGATACATTAGACCTAAAGTGTTAACTGCTAAGTCTACTTTCTCTACATGTCCAGTTTTCTCTACCTTAATTAACTGTTCTATCAAGAAGAGTGGGATGACTCAGGAATCTTCAATGGACCCAGGAATAAAAGATCACAATCTGTCCTTCCTTTACAGCTGAATAAAATAGCTCAAAATCGCAGCAAAAATCTTCTTACCCAGCAAAATCCCTATGGCAAAACTGTCCTTTTATAGCAATTGTTTTTGGCCAAAACTTTGTCTTTTAGTAAAATTAAAACATCCAAATTAATCTTTTGACCATTTTTAAACTCTTAATTCAGTCAGGAGAATAATGGCCCAAGGAACCAAAGCCAGAAAATATCACAGAAACCCAAACTACATTGATAGAACTCATTTTAAGTTCAGACAGCAAAACATGGGCAAGCCTGGATTTTATAACCAGTATTTGCAGTTTTAAACCAAGTATTGATACTTGAATCTAAAGATAATGAAGCGGATAATATAAGCTGAGTGCACAGAAAAAAAAGTCTCCATGGAAACAGATAAAAAATTAACACAAGAATAAGAAGAAGTTGTTTTAACAACTTCTGATTCAGGTTTTTGTTAATGTTTTGTTTTGTTTACTTGTTTGTTTGCTCAATTTGAAAGCCTTACCATCCTGCTGGCCGTGAAGAGCCTGGGGACTTTGCATCCTTTCCTCAAGATTGGAGCTAAGGTCAGAGTTCACAGCTGACATCCGTGTTGAATCGCTCATATCAAATTCGTCACTTTCTATTGAACTTTCATCCTGAAAATTGTTTTAAAATATCATCAAGTATCATAAAATATAATACATTCAGATAATGACCATTTTATCTATAGGGTCAATTAAAGTTTAGCCAGTTAGTAAGCTTTTACAGAACTCAGTAAAATGTTACACATGAATAGATTCTTGAAATAACAAATAAGAAATTTGAAAACGTGTGAAGATTCAATGTTCTATGTAAAAGATGTAAAACATAAAATAATGTATTTAGAAAGGACATAGTTGAGGAATTATCTGAATAGTGAAAGAATGGATTTTTTTTTTAATTAGTAAAAAACTTCCTAATAGAGTCAATCACAAAACATAGCATAAAAAGAAATACATGTTTTAATTTTTTAAATAAATGACAATAAAATATTATAAGCAAAAATATGATACTGCAATAAAAATCTTAACTAAAAATTTTTCGTTGGTAAAGAAAATGGAATCTAAAAACAGACAAACTTACATGGCTAGATTCAAAGTCCACATTTGCTGGAAAACAAGTTAATCTTAGCACAACCTTTCTTTCTTTACAAGGGAATATAAATGGCATTGCAACCACAAAAAGTTCAAGGTAAAAGTGTGCAAGATCCATTTACCAAAAGCCAGATCAGCAAATGGCTAAATTACCAAAAGGCAAATTTGCCAAATGGTCAATTCATCAAAATCTGTCAAATATTAACTTAAACCAAATCTATGCTATGTTGCTATAGTCATTTCCTTGAAGCAAACTCCTTTTTTGCTTTGGAGAACTGATTTTTGGACAAATGCTCTGCTTATGTAGGCAGGAAGGCCTTAGAAACCTGTGTAAAATATCATAAATGTTTAACTGAAACCACCAGGTTTAACTTCAATTTGTAAACATTTGATCTGAAAGTCTAACATCAATGTAATGATTACCAGTAGCAGTAGCAAATTTATATTTGCTTACATACTTCATCTTCATCACAGCCTGTGAGTTAGGTGCCAGCATTTACCCAATTTTACAGATTGAGAAATTGAGGCACAGAGCTGTTAAGTAATTTATTATACTATTATATACCAGAACTGGGATTCATTATGATGTCTCCCAAACTTAAGAAAAGAGCTTCTTTGAATAGTAAGAGTTCCCCTGGCTTCATAAATGACATCTTGGTATCAGCAAAGAAGTTGCTGTGGTTAAGGTACAAGAGCATTCTAGCAGACTTACAACGGGCATTCTGATCCCTAGGTCAGGCCCAGGTGATTTGGGTGTTCTTCCCTTACCTAAGGTCTGATTGTGTCTGGGTCTACTGAGTAGCACTAGCTCTTCATTAATTCAGCGAGGAAATGCCACCCTGGGAGGCCTCTGGGCAATCAGCCACACAGACTTCTCCCAGCCACGTGCACTCTCGGTACATTATGTTATCTCCAATTCTAAATTCTAAGAAAATCCAAAGCATCTGAAATATTAAATATATATGTTCAAAAGAGAAGAAAAATGACAGAATTCAGTGCACACATCCATGTTATCAATGTGTACCATATACCTATATGTACATATATACACACACATAGCTAGATGATATAGATATCCATTATATACACGCTATATAGTGTCTGTAATATCACAGTGTTTTAGAGCACATTCTCTGGAACCAGACTGCCTGGATTCAGATTTATACTCTGCCACCTATTAGATGTGTCTCCTTAAGCAAATTACCTAACATTTCTGTGCCTCAGTTTCCTCACCGATAAAACGGGAGAAATAATAGTATCAACCTCATAGGGCTATATAATGATTGAGGGGCTATAATACATCTAAAGTAGTTAAAACAACGTCAGATCCATAATAAGCACAAAACTGTTTGATATTGTTATATAGAATATGTAACAAATTCTATAGTATATAGATTCATATTTATTATATGAGCACATACAAAAATAAATGTAATGGTAAAGATGATCAATATGTGTTTATAAAGTAGCTGTGGATACTATATGAACATAGCCTTTATAAAAGCATTTATTATATACCGTACAAAGAGCTAACTAGATGTAATCTAGTAAAATACTGTTTCCATGGTATGTGTATGTGTGTGTACGTACACACACAACCATCTGAGATATATGTATATATATGTGTGTGTCTATGTGTAAAAGCTATGTGTGTGAGGCTATGTGTGTGTATGTTTAAGAAGAGCTAGACACAAAGATTGAGGCTTCAGTCTCTGTTCTATAGAATGGTTAACACAAACTGCACACTATGGCTAATCAATGTAGCTAGTGTGGCTAAAGAACTGACAATTTAATTTTAGTTAATTTGAATTAATTTTTATTAAATTTAAATATCCCTGTATGTCTAGTGGCTACCATGTTGGACAGAGCAGATTCAACATTCCTCACTGTTGGATATTTCCAACCATCACTATTAGCAAAACAATAAACATCCTAACACTTAAATTGTTTTGTGCAACAAATTCCTTAGTATAAATTTTTAGTCAAAGCATATAAATAACTTTTTAAAGTTTTAAAATAATTATTGCCAAACTCTCCCCCAGAAAGTTTGTTATGGTTTAAACTCTCATCAACAGTTTGTAAGAAGGTCAATTGACCTTACTTTGGATACAGTATTTTGTAATTTTAAAGGGATTCCCATTCCTGGCCTTCTTTATCTCTCTGAATAGCATTTAGTATTGTCCTATATACATACTTTCATTATTTACTTCCTTTATTGTCTGTTCCCCCACTACCACTAGAAGATAAGCTTAATAAAGGCAAGGATTTTTGTCAATTTATTCACTGTTTATCCCCATTACCTATAAGAGTGACAGTTACAGAGAAGGTACTCAATAAATATTGATTGAAGTAACTGAATAAACATTTATTAAAATTTAACTCATCACAAAGGAATATCTTACTTGATTTCCATTTTAACATGACTTATCTTACTTAACCACCTTCCTTTCTTTCAATAATCACAATTTCCAAAATTTCATAAATAATCTAACTCATCATTTATCTGAATAGTTTTAAGACAGTGTACACCCAAGTTAGCATTTTTGAAATGTAATGATAAGAGTTATTTTCCTAACCCAGTTATAATTTAAAAGGATCTGTCTCTCTTACGTGAAACACTTAGGATTTTTTAGAAGCCAGAGGGATTTAGCATATGTGGACCCTACTGTCGGCACAAAGTTGATCTTACTTTTTGGTCTAGAAATAAACAGATCAATATCTAAACGAGTTTTCTACAAATAATTTGACAGCTCTAACTAGTTTATGAGTTTTTTAAAAAGATTTTCAATTATTGTGATGACTCATGGGCATAATATTTTTATTCTCAGGGATGGATAAACAGTAATATTTTCTTAATTGTCTTTCCTGTCTTTGATTTTATTACTAGTTATTCAATCATTTATATACAGCTATCTAATAATATGGAATCTGATACTGCCGCTGCACTAATACAGATATTCTTACAGAGTGTACTTGTCATAAAATCTTGAGATAAAACAATTTTATAAACATAGTTTTGAGATTAAACCTGCTCACATAAAGAGGAAAATCAAAAATTTGATTTCTGGGCTTCTCTGGTGGCACAGTGGTTGAGAGTCCGCCTGCCAATGCAGGGGACACGGGTTCGTGCCCCGGTCCGGGAAGATCCCACATGCCGCAGAGCAGCTGGGCCCATGAGCCATGGCTGCTGAGCCTGCGCGTCCAGAGCCTGTGCTCCGCAGCAGGAGCGGCCGCAGTGGGGAGAGGCCCAGGTACCGAAAAAAAAAAAAAAAATTTGATTTGTGTTTTATGAACAAAGTTAACAAAGTAATTGTAAAAGAATTTAATCTTTGATAAAGGAGGCAGGAATGTACAGTGCAGAAAGGACAGCCTCTTCAATAAGTCGTGCTGGGAAAACTGGACAGGTCCATGTCAAAGTATGAGATTAGATCACTCCCTAACACCATACACAAAAATAAGCTCAAAATGGATTAAAGACCTAAATATAAGGCCAGAAACTATCAAACTCTTAGAGGAAAACATAGGCAGAACACTCTATGACATAAATCACAGCAAGATCCTTTTTGACCCACCTCCTAGAGAAATGGAAATAAAAACAAAAATAAACAAATGGGACCTAATGAAACTTCAAAGCTTTTGCACAGCAAAGGAAACCATAAACAAGACCAAAAGACAACCCTCAGAATGGGAGAAAATATTTGCAAATGAAGCAACTGACAAAGGATTAATCTCCAAAATTTATAAGCAGCTCATGCAGCTCAATAACAAAAAAAAAAAAAACCCAATCCAAAAATGGGCAGAAGACCTAAATAGACATTTCTCCAAAGAAGATATACAGA